TTATACTTCTCTTTTTGAGTCTTGTATAAATCAAGCATGTTAAAAAGAATCTAAAAACCATTGCTTTACATTGAAATAGATAATTATGAAGAAGTTGATGCAAAATAATGACTTAATTTAAGAATAAAACAAAGAAAATTAGAGCTCTTAATACATAAGCACAATTATACTATTAGCAAATAATAATAAAAACTAGTCTAAAATTTAGTCAACATGCCTCAAAAGTTACATGAATTTTATTAACAATATCTTTCTAAACAAAAAGTGACAATACTTATAATCAATGCTTTATAATATTTGACATGAAATCTAATTTAAAAAGATAAATTCTACACCCCTGATGTTTTTTGGATTTTTTTATATCAAAAAAAAATAATTATAAATAATTTAAACTAAAATATACATAAAAAATCTAAATCTATTATATTTCACCTTGAATTGAGTAATTTTTCTTGATTTTAGCTTAATAGTTCAATCATTAATAGTCAAAATAATGATATGTTAGAAATTATACTACATCAATCAAATATTTTATTTATCAACCTTAAGAGGAAGAATTATTCAAACTACAATGAAGTCAAAGAATATCTAATTGCCAATCGGTTGTAATTATCATTGAAGCACAATTTACTTATGAAGATTGTCCTAAAGTAGTATTTGAAGGGTGTTTTCAAAATAAAGATATAGAAGTATAAGCTTAGTTTTAAACAAAGAATGTTGGTTATTATTCTTAGTTACAAGAACCAATAAGTCTTTTAACTTATGAAAAATAAATAGAATATATAGCAAAGACTATGAAGCACAGCTTTGATTTTGTAGGTCTTGGAGAAATTTTGGCTTTATTTCTTCTCACAAAAATTGGAAGTGAAGAAAAGGTGATATCACATACATTCATCTAAAGAAAGTTCTAAAAGAATCTAAAAGGTTCTAAAAGATCTTTGAACTTTTTGAAAGGTCTTAGAAAGTCGTAAGAGATTTCAAGAGTTTTTTAAAGGAGATTCTTTAGATTGCTTGACTTCCAAATAATATAAGAAGTAGTAAAAAAAGATTCTTAATATTTCTTTATATTAAAGTAATAAATAAGTTATTTAAGTATCATCTTAGGATTACTTGGAACTAAAGCTTTTTACAAAAAGTTATATAGAAGATTCTTAATTTTGAGTACATATAGATGTATGAGCAAAAGAATTCTACAATTTTAACATTACATGTCTTATAGTCTAGTTTGGACCCTCTAATCTTCTTCTTATTTTTGTATTACATTTCTTCATAACAAGACTCATATATTTTTTAATGTGATTTAAAAAATATGTAGGTATAAGACTAAATTTATCTTTAGTGTTGTCAATGTCAACTTGTATTTTGATGTTGATTTTTTAATTTCTTTAATCTAATATTATATATTTATATCTCCAATAGTAATATAAATGTGTGTATTTTTTAATAGTATTATTTTACTTTAATTCTTTTAATTTTTGTTAAAATTTTAAATATTTCTCAAATGTAAAATTAAAAATAAAATGTATAAGAATTATAGTGATATATTTTAAATTTCTTTCTATACAGTCAAAAACATATCTAATATTAATGATACTATTAGTTTGTAATATATTCTATTAAGAACTATTTTTTTAATGCAATATCTTAAAAGTTGTAATGTGTTTGCTTGCAAAATATCTTTAAATAGTAATGAAATGATAATAGCTATTATTAAAAGTTATATATATATATATATTAAAATAATATAAGATAAATTTTATATAAATTTATCATATTAAGTTTTAAATTAAATTCTAAAATAATTACAAAAAGATCAAAAAATAATATTTTTACAATATTAATAAAAGGACCTAAAATTTTTTTAAATTAAATTATATAATTTTTTTATTTTATTGAAAGATTTTTTGAAAAAAGAAAGTAGATAAATCAATTATATAATAAAAAATTAATCATTAATGCATTATATTATATATATAATTTTAATTATAAATAAAAAGTATTTCTTATCTTTTTGATATTATTATTTTAAATTATTTTATTTAGTATATATCATAATTTTTAGATAAGTATTGGTAATAAAATTTATTCAAATAAAAATAAATAAAGAATAAGATGTATTGATTATAATTTATAAATATATTATAAATAATATTGATAGAATTAAAATATCAATAAAAAATCACTTTATGTTTGATGTTTGAATTTATTTTTTAAAAAATATATTTTTTAATAATCTAATAATTTTTTATACATTGATTATTAATATTTTAATAGTTTTAGTGATCAGGCATACATATTTTAATTTTTATCATATATATATATATATATATATATATATACATACATTACAAAATTATTAACATCACGTTGTATTCTTGTCACATCAATGCACATTGCAGAAAGATGTTGGAAATTGCAATTGCATATGAAATCAATGACACGGAATATTATGACAAAATATCTTGATGCCTTTCATAGATCATTGATTACTTCTTTTGTATTGCTTCAAGTTAACGACTCACTAGGATTTTGAGATGTCACATTATATGTAGAGGATAGTTTATTGCCAGAAACGTTATTAGATCGCAGTTGAGACGTTAATGCTCGTGATACTCTGAGTGTAAAAGACAGGACATGTTTATATTGTAAAACGAGAGACATTTGGAAACCTTTTCATGAACTTTGAAAGTCCTCTATTCTTGAAAAGAAATAACAGTACAATGAGGACAATTAAACGTCATCGCTGGAGAGATATATGAATGGTGTTAAGCAGGTCTTGAGTACCTTCTAATGTCGTATTGCATTATCCCGTTGCATTCATAAGTTCAGACCAAGTCAATTACTCCTCCAAAATAGAGAATACTTTTACTTCTCTTTACGTAGCTCATGCTCTTCGCACATCAAACGTGTCACCAAATCTTTTGCATCAACATGCAATCAAATGTAGAATCTCATGAGGAATCAGAGACATTTTTCTTTTCCGACGAACGTAATACTTTTGTTCTACATAATTACACAAACATATATACTAAAAAGACTTTCAACATATATCAGACCAACATATTGATGCAGTTTTTGGCTGTTCTTAGCCACTATGCTAGCTAGCTAGCTCATACAAGAGTAGAGCAATCTACACAACATTCGCATCAAGACATAGCGCGGCTTCTTTCCAACGAGGTTCGTCCACCTAGTAACATGAGCATTGTACGACCGACTTTCCAAAACCTTCCTTTCCACTAGATATTTCATCCGTCACTGGGACATTGACGAGCACATCTGTTCATCCGTCAAATCAAACAGCTGCTTTTGTATAAGTAGCATTGGTTGACAAAATTGCAATGAGCTCAATTGCTTCTCTTAATTGTATCTATTCTATTATTATAAATTCTAAAAATAATTTGATGACAAAGTAATTTCTGTGAAAAAAGAAACCAAATATATAATTTTTTAACATTATTTTTCAATTAATATTCAGAAAGTCTACCTTTTGAAATTAAGTTTTAAAATATTCTACACAAAACATTTAAAAAATAAAAATTATTTACAAAGAAATTTTGTAAGAATTTAAAACTTTATTTATGAAAAACTCGGAATTTATAATTTATTTTATAATTTTGATTATAAAATACTTTAACAAAATATTTTAAATACATGAATTTAAAATGGTTATGCAGCAATATCTATTCAGGATATTAAAAAAAAAAAAAAAAAAAAAAAAAAAGTAAAAAATTAATCTCATTTACAGGTACTAGATTTTACCATGTTAATGTTATACAAATAAATTAATTCAAAAAAAAATTAAATGATAGAAAAATTGCAATATTAAAAATTCTTAACTACTTTTACTTAATACAATACTTTTGTTAAGAATTAACAAGTAAAGTTGTTGAATTTTTTAATTCTAAATATAATAAATTTATTCAGAATATTAATTTTAAAATACTTAAATGTAGCAAAGCAAACTATAAAGACTTCAAAAATTCTCTTAAAGATGGGACAAGTTTAATTTTTAGCATACAATGGATCTCTAGTGAGTAGATAGCCTTAAGAAGCTAAGAACGTATGTGCTATATAATTAAATAAATAAATAAATAGCATTTAAAAATATATATGGTTAAATTTTTATTTATTTATTTTAAAAAAAACTATTTCTTAAATTTTTTGAGGACACAAAGAAACATGTTTATTTTATAAAATATTTAATTCATTACATAATGTTGATAAAACTATTAAAAAACATATTTACATTAGATGTACAATGATTCTAGCTTTAATAAGTTAAATATTATAAAAATAAAAACAAAGAGTTTCAACACCTTGATGACCTTATTTAAAACAACTAGATATTTTTAAGTTCTTTTCTTCTAATTTTATACATTAAAAAATATATATTTATTTAATTCTAGTTCCAACTTATTTGGCCTTATGAAGTAATAACTTGTTTGATACAATAATAATAATAATAATAATAATAATAATAACAACAAAATAAACTACAACCAATAATTTCTTTTAATATTTTTTGGGGTTAATTTTGTTGTAAATAAAAAAGAAATAATTTTTATTAAAAATTGTGATAGTAATTTGAAATTATTAGATGAAATTTATAATTTGTATTACCAAAATTTATACAACTCTATTTATACTACATTACAATAATATAACAAATGTGGCTATTGTTACTAATTCTTGTGGTTTATACTACCTTTAAATTAAGTTAGTAATTCCGGTAGTACATATCCAAACCAATTTTTGATAAAAACTCATATTGACATACACAGCAATTTGTAGATAAGAGTTTCCATGAATGAAAATGTACACTTCTTCGTTACTTCCACAATGTTTCCTCAACTAAAACATGCTTGTTTAGATGATCCATTGCAAGGTAAACCATACAAGATAAGCATTTCCAAAGTCAACAACTGCTTACACAACAATGTTGTTATTGATTTTATATATATATATATATATATATATAAATATATGTGTGTGTGTGTGTGTGTGTGTAGGTTTATTTATTTATTAATTTATGAGAATATGCTATTACAACATTACAATTATCTCACCCTTGTAGTACGAACCGACTCAAAAGATGAGGAGCCTCAAGCTTTCTAATTACTGATCTAGGACGAGGAAAAAGAAGGAGAAGATGAAGAAGAAGACTCAAGCGAGCAGCCACTCAAGAAGCAGATTTACGCACAATTTATCCGCAGTAATCAGGAATATTCAAACCATGACGATGCCATGACATTCCGGATTAAGCCAAAGGTTCTACACAACAGCACAATACTAGAAGGACATCTGGAGGAACTGACGCTGGAGCAATCGCACCTCAAAAACTCCTTTTCTTTCATCCTACGGATACACGCTATGGACACAACCATCCTTAAAACTAGTACACAATAAAAAGTAATGGACCTGCAGCTCCACAAGGCTTCCCAGCTACAAGAAGAGAGGTCTAGATTTCAGCATCAGAGTTGAGAGTATAGGTGATGTAGAAGCATGAGGATGTCACTTCAACAGCATGGAGCACAGAAAGATGGGAGATGGGAGATGGGGGATGGAAGAAAGCTTATCGTTCCCAGCCGAATGCATTGAGGTCCAAGTCACTCCCACGGGCGGGTTGAATGCTGTTCCCGCTACAGTTAGGACCAGTGGCGGGGTGGAGATGGTGATTGTTCAAATCGAGCCCTCCTTCGACTTTCACGGTTGGGGAGATTCGCAGCTCCGGGAGCGTGTGTGGCATGTAGATGTTGCTTTGGTATGTTTTTTGATTGTGGGTCGTGGTTTGGGTGTCGGTGAAGAGAGTGGGAATGGCGCCACGACGAGGAGTGGGCCGCTCGAGTGAGGCCCCTGTCCCTGGTGATGGTCTCATCTCCGCCGCGCCGTTCCCCTGCGGAGAGAAGGGGTCGCTGTTGCGACTTGTATTGTTACTATTATAGCCCCCGGGAGAGTTTTGCATTTGGTTGCAGCTGTTGTTTTTGACTCCTGCTTTTCATACCATGCATCCCCCCAAAAAAAACACAATTACGTATCACATCAGACTTTTGACGTGCCGTTAGAGATACTTGTCTCCCATGAAACGGCCCTCGCAACTTGCACGACTTGCGACTGGTCCAATGCGATCATTACTGTATTGGTGCTGCTAAAAATCATCAGGAGGATCGTAAGATTGATGAAATTTGATGGAGTGAGCGGAAACTCCCCATACCTGGATCACCGTACCTACTCACTCTACGACGGAGACAATTGAAATCATTACGCGCAAGTAGATCGAAAAGCAAACGCCCTCAATGCGCATCGACCACACGGTACCGAGACTCAGCAGCAGCTCTGACTCTTTACAGCGCTCTCATTGCGTTGAAGTGGTTCTTGAATGATTGGATGCATTTTCTAAATGTTTGGGGTCACTTCTCACACCTACGCCAGAAAAACTTTTCATGCAAGACCATCCCTCACGACAAACTCCAGCACCCCGTCAAACTGGTTGATTCGAAGTCTTGGAACTAAGCTATTTTCATTCCCACAAGAGGCAGGTATCGACAACGTCGGCAGTGCGCCACCGTGCCAATGTTGCTACAGAGAGAAACTTTAGAGGCCATCAAGCGGGAGCTCTCACGAGCAGTTGCTTGAATGCACTCGAAGGTGAGTAGATTTTATTACCTGGTATAGACGGTTGCTCACATCCACCAGAAATACCCCCGCTGTCTTCCTGAATAGCAGTGAGGTGAGATTTCTGGGAAGAGGTATCTGATGTGCGGCCCGATTGTTGGCGCGTCAGGGTGGGGGTTGCGACGTTGTGCACTTCGTTGTAGGCTTCTTGGATCAAGTTTGATGCAAGATTGGTTAGCTCAGGAGGGTTCAACCCGGCCAGTTGCTGGGATGTAGAAGCTGCAAATGTGCCAGGATCACCGATAACCTTCGATGCCAATTCGGTCAGCTCTGCGTGTGCAGCTTTCAAGTCCGGGGACGCGGAGGTATGGCCAGCTAACGTCTCTTTTGCCTTCTCCAGTATCGTCTGCAGGTATTTCCCTTGCGCCTCTATTCGCAACTGAAGATTCTTATGAACCTGCATTGCAGCTAACTGTGATAAGAAGACAGTGCAATTTCAATGTTCACCTGTTGCAAATCCAGTAAATGCTTGTAAGATGATGTTTCATGACTCCTGCACTGAAGGGTTGAATGTGCCATGGCCATTACCTCGAGTTGTTCCTGAAGTCTACGTTGAACCTTCATCTGCAAACGAATAGCTTCAGTGATCTGCATGGTGCTGCAGGGAATAATCACACTTCTATTAGGTCGTGATCATAATTTGTTAGTCTGCATGAGATTCAAACTCATTGCTCAGAAGATATATTTGTGCAGAACGGGACATACTCTTGAGAATTCTGCGACGTTGGAGTCAGAGGACGATCAGATGCGCCATTACTTGTCCCCAGCATGTCTGAAGAACCTGCAGGAAGCAAACATATGATGATCATCATTTCAAAATGTGAAGAACCGAGAGAATACGGTGTTATGCCAATCAGCACAAGAAAGGATAGTTTTTCTTAATACCGTGACTGACATCCTTGTTGGCTTCATGCACACTGGAGTCTCTATGCAGTTGCTTTCCCAGTCTGTATTTCTGCAAGCCCAAAGTCGGAATGACTTTTAGCCTCTACAAGTAAAAAGAAGGGATTGCTATTCAACATGATTGAAAAAATAAGATGAAAAATAGAAGAATGACTAAAAAATTGCGATGTAACTCACCTGAAGATGGCTCTTCAAATGGTATAGAGTAAGATCCTTCACTCCCATGATCCGCATCACAGATTTTGGTGTAGCCTCTGTCAATTGAGTTCGTTAATAACAAAGAAATTAGTCATCTTAATCTAAAATAAATCCTTTTTGAACACCTACATTAGACCAAAATATGTTGAGAATCCCACATTAACGACTTCGAGAATGAGGGTATAACCACCTCTGATGTACCGGGGAGAAGGTGACTGCACAATGTCATACCATCAGCAGAGCTGTGATGCTTAAGGTCACGGGTAAGGTCACGAGTAAGGCCATAAGTGTAGAACTGACGATCTCTACAATCAAGTAAACGTTATCTCCTGTGTTCCGTAATATCAGTTCACATTCTTGTCCATGTGCTTGGGCTGGCATCCTGTTCGGGGAAATAACTAATAAATAAATCTTAAAAAAGGTGGGGTGCACATTGATCGTAAGAGGGAGATTGTTCATTATTCTCTTACGCTCCTGTCGAGGGAACTAGTAACTCGAGCTCGTCATCCATATATCAGTTCTTTGAAACGTACTCCAGTTACTAACGTCGGCATTGATGGTTGAAGGAGGAAATGGATTTGACGACCACACTTCTACTAAAATTCCTGTAATGGATCATTGGCTATGTAGATTTCATCTCCCAGGCAAGATTCAGGTACAAAACATTGAATTCTCACTGCTGAAGATTACTTTAAAAATACCGATGATGAGCAATGTTTGAATAGCCCACACGTGCACAATCAGGGTAGCAGATGGGTCGCAGTGCATTGCCTGAGCGTTTAAACGAGTAGACTCCAGCTTGTTCTTAGCAACTACAATGTAAGTTATGGTGTTCTACTGAGCGATGTGAGGACATTCTGGTGGAAGGGCAAAGAAATGAGTATTAGAGAGAAGATGAACTCACTATCAGCGCCACCGAGCTGGTTGACAGCGTCCACAAAGCGCTCATGCAGCTCTGGAGTCCATCGCAGTCGGGGCTTGGGGTCTACGGGGTTCATTTCTCCCGTCGATAGAGTGGGGGCATATGAAGACACTTGGTGATGCCGATGTGGAGCCAACGCAAGGCTAGAGTACTTCTTCATCTGGTACATTGCCATTGCTGATACTTACAAATTATCCCTTCGATAACCTCGCGCTCTTGAATTTGTTGACGTTAATTGAGACTCGAGTGCAGTCGTAGTTGCCAATATTCCAGAGATTGTTGAGCAATTAGATTGGAATTTCACTACATAAACAGGGTGAATATAGTGCCAGACACAGAAGGTTCTACTAGTCCAAAGATTTCCTTCGACTGATCAAAAGGTTCGAAGAGTTTTCACAGCCTGATACTCGAGTCCGTCGGACATATTCAACATATCCTGATGTTCCAATCAGAACTAAAAGATCGAATTTCGTGTGCAATGGTTTTCCGGGGCTGAAGTCTAAGAGATCACTTCCCCGAAATGCAAAAACACATAGTTTTTGCAAAGCTTGAAAACAGGCTGGCAATTAGAAGCTATTGTGATGTCCTTTGAAGGACTCTTCGAACACTGAAGCAAAAAGTATTGCTCAAACAATCTCTGGAATATGAAAGCAAAGAGCAGAGTGATATAAAAATCATGACAGCGCCTGAAATATACCATATGCCGCCACAAAGAATCCCAGAAGAAAATGACTTTCGACGTCGTGTAATACAAAGACTACTACAGCTTTTCGATGTTGTGTTAGGCAAGATGGTCAAACGGTCCTGCTATGGAACCATGACGAATCTGGGGCAGCGCATTCTACTATCAGATATATTCGAAGTTACAATTTCAGTTTACAGTTCACCGACAACAGATTCCAGGAGTTACAAGCAACTGAATAATGTCAGGAGCAAAACTGAGGCGGCTCGCTTGAGAGCAATCCAAGACTTCGCATCTGGGTTGCGCTGAAGAAAGATATATTTTCCGGGGCTCTCAAAATCAAAGCGCTAGATTGGACTTTTCCTGCACAATTTGCTACTCAAAGCGTCAAAATCACAGAAAGCAATAGACACAACAGAATATTTAATCGTTTTAGACGACCCAGGTCTCCTGATCAATGCCAAAAGCAAGTACCTATCATCCAGCTTAGAAGACACTAAGTGCAGCTTCAGAGCTTCAATGTGAGGCGCATTGCTTTGAATTCTGAGGTATACACACATTCGATTTAAATCATCTCCACGTAGTACTCCCCCACTTTCATTTCTACGATGTTTCTGGTACACTACATCTTCCCCCGGACTATATGAGGAGAGTATGGCCTACTTCTGAACGCCTCAACCCAGCACTACTAAATTTCGGTGATCTCAAGAAAATGTTTGTGGTTCGAGGCTGGACCGTAGTGGGCCCTCCTCAAGCACTGCTGATCGAGTCAGACTCTTTGACAGTTACGTATCGAGCCATTGAATTAACTGCGACGGTCCTAACCACAAAGGTAACGTCCAAACTCAGACCTCGAACTTACAGGATTTGATTGTTCACCTTTAGAGGTGAAAGCCTCCAGTAAAGAACAAGAGCTGTCGTCACTCAGGGCCAAGTATTGTCATATGAGGGGTGCAATGAACGCCGCCATGGAGTAAACGGTGGAGATAGTAAAAGCCATTCGAAAAACCTAATGAACAATCTATCGAGGCAACATGTCTTGTTCAAGGCGTTCGAGCGAAGTTCCTCGGAAGACGCGCGCCCACGATTTCCTTCGATTCTCCATTTACCGACAGAGTATATGTTCGCACATACACTCGAAAATTGAAGCTTCTCATGAACACTAACAAGTGCTCGAACAAAATTCAACTACAGCTGAATTCTCCACCTTCATCCCCAACTCGCTGCCCAAATGTAGAACATCATGAATTGAGCTGAAGCAGCAACACTGTACAGACAAACATTCAAATTATTGCGCCTGCACCTCTTGAATCATTACCTGAACAAGCGGGTGCTACACAAATCGCGTGCACGTCGCCGAAGCTGACTTGGATGCCGCAGCAAGTCTTTAGCAGATGTAAAATTCCAATTGGAGCAGCGAAAACCACGAGCGGCATAAACCTCTCCTGCAGGTTTCAGCAGCAAAACGCGCCACAGCAGCAACGGTGCGTAATGATGGGCTTGATCACCGAATCGCAGCTTTCCTGCAGCCGAGAAGATGGAAAACTTCCCCCAACACTTTGCACAACTTCTTCAACTATCCACGACCTCCTCGGGACCTTGCTAAAGCAACACTTCCGTTGAAACCAACAAAACTATGCGCAGATTGCGAGTTTCTACATGACCAAGATGCGAGATAAACCCCAAAACCACGGACTTAAACCTGGAGCATCCTCAAGCGAGCATCGCTCTGCCGATAACAGCTAATCGAGGTTAAAACCTCGTCCACAAGCGAAAGCTCTCTTGCTCCACTTCTAATCAGCTTGAGCTCTGCGATCCGCCAATCTACTAATTACGGAAATGCGACAGTATGCGATCAGGTGCAGGCAAGAGCGAGCGCTAGAGTGGGGGGGGGGGGGGGGGGGGGGGGTTGGCGATTCGGCAGCAGGTGGGGGCGGTAAGGGATTGGAGTATCAGTGGTGGAGTAGTCAATGAGGGAGACGAGGGAGGCTGGAGAGATTTGGCGACAAGACGAATCTTGAAGGATGGTAATAAGCTAGAATATGCCAGCGGTGGTCTCGCCTTGTGAGCCACGCCCTGTCGTTTCTGCTACGCTTGTTGTACATCTTGCAAAGTAAAATTCCCTTGCAGTTCACCATGTTGTTGTATCACACACCGACGACCACATTCCTCCTGGTGAACCTTTCATTATTGATCCTGTTCCTCTCAGACGTATAGCTCCGAGCCAGACCTCCGCCCAAATCTCCGCCTCGCGATCACCTGGTCTTTTTCACAATATTCCCAATGTTCTCTGGGGTTGGTTACCATACTCATAAAAGGATGAGGAAGAATAAGTCCTCAAGCCACATTTCTTTACCGGAAGCATGAATCTTTCTTGCATGTAGTTGGGGAGGCCTATCTACTACCTCGGTTAAGCGAGCAAAATTCCGCATCCTCACACCCTCGATGGCTTGCAAAGAAAAGGAAAGCATTTGGGGTTTGGATAATTGCTATGATTCCACCATCACAGCCTGGCAGGGATGTAATGCGAATAGCTTTGGTCAGGGGTATTCATCGCAATTTGTGACCTGCTTTATTCCTTGGAAAATTCGTCAAAAGCTGGTTGTGCAATTTGTGGCGATCATTGCTTTGTATTTTTGTTTGGAATCATGTCCTGGAAGGAAACATGTTAATGGGTACTTCTTGTTGCTCTATGAGCAGTAATTACATTGTAGGCCAACGAATGAAAAATGTCCGGCATCTTTTGACGCCAAGCTTGCGTAATGGTGTGCGCCACCTCCGCAACTAACATCCCTGCCCCCCTCGGAAATACCTGCAGTAATAGAATCAAGGATGAAGAAGTGTAGTGTACACTTTCCCTGGCGCACTCAAACCGGTAAATGTCTGGCCATCAGATCCCCACCGTTCTAACCTCACACTCCCACAAGTCCAATCCTTACGAGAACATAGTGTGCCTGGACAGTCTACTGTGATCCTCCCAAGACATCAGACAACATTGTCAGACGAAACGACAGCAGCAACGCCAGTCAATAAACCTCTGGCTGATTCACTAAAAAAACGCACACCTCCTAGGATGTCTACAGTTTAGTTCTACACCCCGCCCATGCCAGCGTTGGATACGCATCTTCTCGTCAGAGCACACCTCGGTGACCTTCACTAATGCCGACCCTCAAGGCCAAACAGAATGCGAACTAATAATAATAATAACAATGATAACATAAATGATATTAATAACAACCAATAAATCCTAATCCTGTCCCCACATGCCGAAACCCTGGCTCCAGAATACGAGGAAGCATTATGCCGCGCACACACCCAATTTCCGAATTAATAAAAACATGCTCCAAACCAGATGTTCGACGGCCAACAACGACCCAACTTGCTTTTCTTAGTCCCGATCCAACCCCATGCACTGTTGGTTAGGACTTTGGATGGGTTTAAAAGCCTCGCATGGGTCCCGTCACATCTAGGTTTTGTTGCAAAATGTAGAAAGAGAGCCGTTGCCCCTACCGCAGCAATGGTGATTTGGCCGATTGCGGTCGGGGATGTTGCCAGGGGGTGGGAGCTGCGACAGGAAATCGGCGCGAACTTGCCCTGTGTTCTGGGAGGCGCTCCACGCAACAAGGGAATTCGGCTCATAGCAAAGCATACGTGTGTGTATGTGTGTCCAGCGATGGATATATACCCAAGAAAAACAAAACAAAACAAAACAAACATTAACCATGTTCACCGCATGCAAACCACGTCACCCACTCCAAGTCATCGCTCCCGCATCGTCTGCTCTCTCTGCCACTCGCTGCCGCCTCGTCGTCCCTGCTTGCATATAATCAGACGACCGCCGCATGCCGGCGACGATTCCAATGATCGCCCACGACACAGTCCACAATCCTCGCCCGGAAATTCTCCGAAAACATGGTCGATCGGTGGTCGGCCTTCCTTCTTCTTCGTCGTCGTCGCGGTCATCGTTGTGGGTCTCCATCCACTTGGTCTCGAAAAGCAAGCTATGTAGGGTGCTCGTCCAAACGAAACCTCAAAGAGTATTGCAAAAGTTTGGCCCTAGTTTGGTGATATCACTTCACGAGATCCACCACATTTGATATTTCAATGGTCGCTATAATGATATTTATTAAGATTAAGGGTTCAATTGAACGATGTAGTAAACTTGAAAATTAATTCTTGTAAGAAAATTAGTGGACAAAAGTTCAAGTGATTTTGGAAGAAGTCATCTTATTGGAATGGGAGATGAAGCATTGTTATTGTTATTGCTTTGTTTTGTTTTGTTTTGTTTTTTTTTTTTTGGTGTCTTAAAGGGATGTAGATGAACTAGTTCTTGTAGACAAAGAATCCCTTGTATCCACTTGCTTTGGATCTTTTTACTTATTTTTTATTTATAAGTATATATAAACATTTAGTATTTATTTTTAGTAGATTTTTCATATAATAAAATTCAACTAGATTTTCCAATGAAATTAATTTATTACCAGGTATTGGATTTGTTTTTCATATTTTTTTACATATTTTTACAATTTCAGATTTTATAGTGGATAAGATAAAAATGTATTTCATAAAAAAAAAAAAAAAAAAAAAAAAAAAAATCATAATTTTTAAACTTTAAATTTTTTTGTAAATACTAATCTGTTATAATTTTTTAACAAAATGTTATCAAAAATATAAAACTATACAAATTTGTTAAAAAATTGTGTTTTATTGTACGACTATAAGAATAAAAATAAAACAAAAAAATAAATAAATATTATATTTAGAAGATAAGAAAGTATTGTATCATTTATTGTCAAATACAAAAAATCCAAAAAATAATAATTTTCTTTATATAAAGATTAGCATTTAGATTAGAGGGTGGAAGAAAAATTAACAAAATTGAAGATGGTAACAACCTTATTTCTACATGTACTAATAAGGCTATTAAAGCTTTCTAAAGACCACAAGGATTGTAAACCAAGTATCTAAGTTGCATCATACTTCTATCATGGATTTTTAAATGTATGAAATCTCTATAACCACAAAGTTTATCCAAGGATATTGAAAGATCTAAGCTAAGTCTTAAAAAATATTTGATATTTCTAAAGAGAGATATTATTTATCTATTGATTTCTTTTTTTTTCTTTTTTCTTTTTGTAATTAAGTGCACTAAGTGATTATGAAAATTAGAAAAAATTACATAAATGGTAATTAAATTATAAGTTTTTTAACAAATTAATGTGTTGCATAGAAATAAAGTTTTCTTATTAGGTAGACAAGCAATTTGAATGTTTATGTATTTAATTTAGGAAATATTTTTATAAAATACATTCTTTTAAAGATTAATATATCTTTGATAAAAATAAATAAACTGAATTAAACTAAGTTAAATTCTATCATTTTAAGCATTTAAATGATTTTAACTTTATCATGTAAATATGATTCTAATATGACAAATCATTTATCATATAATCTTCTTATCCAAATAGACATAGTTATAATATTCTATAAAGGTCATTGATAGGTTTTTTAAATCAAAGATCAACCATAGTAATAATAATATAATATTAAGTTGAAAATTCTTATCAATAAGAAAGTTATAATCTTTTTGATGCATTTGTAAGATTTTCGAATGAATTATGTATAAACTTCTAAGCCGTTCCAATTTTAAGTTACAATTTTTTATTTATTATTGACTACAATGTAATTATTTTAAAATTACTTCATTTTTAGCATATTACCTATTTTATAATGTTTAATAAGAAGAACATAATAACATAGTGAATCTTTTTTCAAACTAATAATTTAGACCAATTTACAACTAGATTAATGTATATTTTCAATCTAAAATAGATAAAGTCTGTAACAAACCAACTTATCACAAGACAAGTTATCTTTGATATCATACCAAAATCACCATAGCTTATTACAAGCTGTAAATGGAGATATAGAAATCAATTATTTATTGCTATAAAACTTTTTTTAGTTACATCTTTATTTTTGTGCGAATTTCTAATAATCTATTTGCTAAAACATTTGCTATTAGGTCATCAATTTGAAAAACTTTTAACAATGTCATATTGTAAATATTCACATTTATTAGAAAAAAATAACTTTTATTTGTTGAAGATTTATCTTAAGATCAAATTAATATTTACCTTGTAAAAATGATTATTTTTAGATTTTCTTGATAATGATCAAAGATATAACACAGATATAAATGGGATGCTTGATTCAAATATTTAATTTTTGTTAAGAGTGTAAATATGAACCATTCAAAACAATTTCATCACTATTCTGAAAATTTTGAAGATTGAATTTTTTTAAAATTTGACTACAATAAAGATATCATATTAAAACAAAATTTTAATTAAGAATTTAAAATATTGATATATTATTTTTCAAAAAATGACGTTTTAAGATTTTAGAATAAATATTATATAATTCATAAAATATGTAATTTTTATCCAAAATCTAGAATCACAAAAATAAAGTTATAAAAATAGAATGGAGGTGAATTTGTAATAAAATTAACTTGAGCAAATCACTGTATTTGCTTTGGATTAAATAGTAGTTAAAGAAATTCATATATTTTGTATCACAAACATATATTAATTATCTTCTAAAATAATTTTAAATAACCTTGAGTCTTTTGAAATCCTTTTAGATCTGTTATTGTATTTTTAAATCAAATTGATATCTCTATAATATGCTTTGAAAATAATAAAAAAAATAAAAATTAAGAAACTTAAAAGAGTTCTTATAGTTATTTGTACTTATCTCATTCTTTTTTATATTTATTTTAGAAAGCTTTTAGAATAATTACTAAACTTTTACATAATCTTATAGATCTAAAATATTTGCAATGACTTTACTATCATTCAACTTATCTTCTTGATATGCAATC